ATCCCATCCCATCCCATCCCATCCCATCCCATCCCATCCCATCCCATCCCATCCCATCCCTCCATCTTTCAGATGCACGGTGGTGTCTTATAACCAAATTTTGGCAGCTTTTACTCGCAATGGAAATCTGTAATGGGAGAAGCTAATGATCTCAGCATTCTTGCATAAGTGATTGATCCCCACCCTTGCCCAGCACTCGGACTCTGTGCAAGCTCCTACAGGAACAAAAATTGCCACCATCTTTGTCTATCCAGTGCACAGGGCTACTGGGTTGTGTTCTGGAGCATTAAAGGATAAGCGAGTAGCAGGGACATTATCAGAGCGTGGTCTTCAAAAGTGGGGAGATTTTTTAGCATGTCTCCAAGAGATTCCTTGTCTCTGGGACACAGCCTGGATCCACGTAGGGAGAAGCTGACCTGGAAACCTGAGTGAGTCTGGCCCAGCAGAGCCTTTTGGTCCTGGCAGGTTTCCTGTTCATTGGTGCACTGTGCTGCCCCGTGCTGCCCCTTGGACCCACATGAAATGCTAATGGAAAGAATGAGGACACGATGCGAATCCTGCTCCTCTGGAGTGGGCTGTTGGCCCTGGGTCACCCTGGGAAATTCAAAGTCTGGCTCCATCGAGACAGCCTGTCATTATTCCTCAGTCATAGTTTCTCAGGTACAATTTACTTCCTGGCTTTGATAAATTAACTTTGCCAGACAGCAGACATGCAGATTCATCTCTGGAGCAGCGCTACCGGCTTTCCTTTTCCAGTGAGCTACCATGAATCAGAGGGCAAAGAAAAGCCAACAGCCACCGGCTTGGTGTGAACGTGTGGGCTGGGTAGCCCTCGGCTGGTGCAGCACAGTGGATGCCTCTGAGGCTAGTCATGGGCTGTGCACAGGATGCAGGGGCAGCAGAGGAGGGTTGGTGGCATCCTGGGTGAGGCCCCAGAGTTTACTCTGTGCAAGTGACCTTCCTCCATCCCATTCTCATCTTGCTTTTCTTAAGACTTCCTTTTGAAGCCCTGGAGGACAAATTAAACGGAGTGGAGTTGATTGATTTTGCCAGCACCTGGAATAATTTTGATGCCTTTGGCATGATCCATCCTGACCTGCTCTCCGTGCAGGGCACAGCCAACCTAAGGAGCTATCCTAGCTACACACGCTGCTGGGAACCTGTCTGCTCAGCAAGTTATTGCTTCCTTGGCCCTAGATAGTCTTACCCTTGCTGGCAGAGGTTGCTTTGGGGGTTATTTAAAATGCTTCCCAAGACTTCAAAGAGCTGCTTGGGTTTCTGATGCTCTTTTACCTTGGAATAGCTGGTGTCCTGTTAGAGCTGAGTGCTGACAGCCTGATGGATGGAAACTGAACCTAATTTCACAGAATCACAGAATTGTCTAGGTTGGAAAAGACCTTCAAGATCCTCCAGTCCAACCACTGACCTAACATTGACAGTTCCCAACTTCACCAGATCCCTCAGTGCTGGCTCAGCCCGACTCTTCAACCCCTCCAGGGATGGGGACTCCACCCCTGCCCTGGGCAGCCCATTCCAATGCCCAACAGCCCCTTCTGCACAGAAATCCTTCCTCAGAGCCAGCCTGACCCTGCCCTGGGCAGCTTGAGGCCATTCCCTCGGGGCCTGGCGCTGGGGCCTTGGCTCCAGAGACTCATCCCCCCTCTCTGCCCCCTCCTGTAAGGGAGTTGCAGAGGGCCAGGAGGTCTCCCCTCAGCCTCCTCTTCTCCAGACTGAAACCCCCAGTTCCCCCAGCCGCTCCCCAGCAGACCTGTGCTCCAGACCCTGCCCCAGCTCCGTTGCCCTTCTCTGGCCACGCTCGAGTCACTCAATGGCCTTTTTGGGGTGAGGGGCCCAAAACTGAACCCACTCATCGAGGGGCGGCCTCACCAGTGCCGAGCACAGGGCTCAGATCCCTTCCCTGTCCCTGCTGGCCATGCCAGTGCTGACACAAGCCAGGATGCCATTGGCCTTCTTGGCCCCCTGGGCACACTGCTGGGTCCTGTTCAGCCAGCTGTCAATCACCCCCCAGGTCCCTCATTGACTGGCAGCTCTCCATCCACTCCTCCCCAAGCCTGTAGCGCTGCTGGGGGTTGTTGTGGCCCAAGGGCAGCCCCCGGCATTTGCCCTCAGTGAAACTCATAGAGTTGAAACTTCAGCTGGATCAAGCATTTGCTTGGATCATGTCAGGCCTCCAAGCACACTGTTGCTTTCCATTAAAAAAAAAAAAATGGGAAAAACCTCTTCTCTTACAATACTGCAGAGTTTTGGTTGAGTAGTGCCCAAACACAGCATTGAAATGTGGGGTGCAGGCACCACCCCCACCGTGATGGACACTTGGAAGCCGTACATCTTCCTCCCTGTGCGTTTCCCGCTGGCCAGGGAGCACTGTGTGCGTTTCCTCTCCACAGGCCTGCTCCCTAGGAATGTGTTTTTAGATGGGCTGGGGGTCTAGCATCTTCACTGCCCCATCCGTGGAGGGAGGTCCATGAGAAACCAGAGGGAAGCTTGCGCCATGCCTACGGGGAACATGCAATTTGCTTTCTGCTTAGTGCTTTTACTGCCCTGCTATGAACATTCATAGCTGAATTTTCCAGAGCAGAGGGCACTGGTGCACTTCACTGCAGCTGGTGATCAGTGGGAACCGAGTGCTTCAGTTCTTTGGGGCTGTTGAGAAGCACTGAGTGACTCTTGGGAAAGAAGACATTGGTGTCAGGGTTTTGATCAGCCGGTTTTGCAGAGTTACTCTTTAGGCTCTCAGCAGTATCCCCCAGCTATGTGGCTGCTGCAGTGGGATTTGAGCAGTCCTGGCTTCCTCTGACCTTGAGCCTTTATGCCAACCCAGCCCCCATTGTCAGGAAGCCAGGAGAGGTGAAGGAGCTTCCCTTGGTGTGTGCTCCAAAAGAGAGTGGAGGGGGAACAACCCCCTCCTGAGGATGAGCATCCCTTGGGCTGGGCAACAACGGGGTTAATGAAGTGAGTCTGTTAAGGGAAGGTAAAATACAGGTTGTAGAGGCTCCTGCAGAGTTGCTGTTTCCATACACTAGCTTGGATTTAGGGAAATGGAGCCTTTCTGGTTTTTATCCTCATATCTTTATTCCTTCCTTTTCCTGCACCCCACAAGAGCCCAGGATCCATGGTTTCCATGCTAAGTTAGTGTTTGGCTTGTCTTACAGGCTGGCAAATGCTCATGCTGGAGGATTGAACCCAGTGAAGGAGTGATTCCCCCCGAGACAGAGGTGTCTGTGGCTGTCATAGCAAGCTTGGATGACACAGAGAAATTCAAGGACGAAGTGAACCTGTTCATAGAGAATAGCCACACCTACATTATCCCCGTCCGGGCTGTTGGCATTGGCACCACGATTGTCACCGACAAACCCTTTGCTCCGGAGCTCAACTTGGGACCCCACTTCAGGTAGGGTATCTCTCAGTGTCTGCTCCTGCCGTGGACTCAGCAAGGGGTAGTTTAGCTGTAGTCCTTCAGGCTGGTTGTTCTTCAGCACTCAAGGTCCTGTCTCTGTTTTCCTGAAGCCACAGGGCTTCCTTTAGAAACCTTCTATGGCCATTTGAAAGTTGTTAGATACCCTCAAAAGCCACCAAAATGGAAACCAGTTGTTAAATTGTCACTGACTTGTCTTTAGTTATAATACATATATTTCCTCACTTTATCAAATAAAGTTTTGGAGGAAAACTGCAGGTCCTGGAAGCCTCTGGGTGGAAGATGCTACATTACAAGTATAAACACATTTCCCTTTGCAATAATGTTTCTTGTTCTTCCCTTCACTATGGAGTATCATTCCGCAACAGCGGAAAACCTTGGTGGTAGCTTGTTAGCTGGTCCTTGACTAAATTAATGGTGCTGTTTTGTGCCCAGCAGTCCTGGAGGAGCAGCAGAATTTCTTTGCCCTGTATCACCTCTCAGTTTACTCGCCTTCCTCGTCTTCCCTGCTGGGCTGCTCTTCACTAGACATAGTTGCTCTTCCCACGTCTCTCCCACTGTCTTTCCTCGGCGTCACCGCCGCAGTGGAGCCTGAGGCACGGGCAGTCGAGGGTGGCTGCAGGACCAGCTCTGGAAGGGAGAGAAGAAGTCCACTGAGTTTGGGCAGGATAAATGGAAAGTGTTAATTAAAGACTTTAGCTCAAAGGAGGGGATTCACTGGTCCGAACACCTGTATCTGAAACCAGGCAAGTTCCCATAAATGGGAGAAAAATAAACCTTTTCAAAGTGCTGCCTGCCTTGTGTTGGACACTGCTTGGGATGAGAAGAATAGTCTTCTTGAGGTGCCTGTTCCTTTCCCTGGCTGCAAAGAGAGTCCACAGTGGTCCAATACCTAAATTTTGGGGTAGAAATAGCAGGTTGATCCTACTCTTTAGGACAGATTTTGGGGGTTTAAATATGCATGCACAAGCCACCCATGTAAGCAGGGACATTGCAGGGAGGTTGGTGCTTGTCCAGCGTGTCCTCTGCTCTGTACAGCCACAAACTGGCTGCCCAACGGAGTGGGCGATGTCAGTGTGATTTGTGTCATCGTCCTCTGCCCCCTTCACGTCTTGCTCTGCAGACTCTGGATTGTTGCATTTGCTGTTGGCTGCAGCGCTGCCGCCAGGTGAGCTGAGACAGGACCCAGGTAACATCTCAGATGAGTTGGGCTTTCCCAGAGCCACAAATTCTGCATCCACCCAGAGCTTCTCCAGGCTCTCATCTATGCTGTCCGCCACATAAACCATTTCACACAAAGCTTGTACGCATCATGTTTTAACAGTCTTGTTTGTTCTATACTCTCAGGTTTGTGCATTTAGCTGCTTGTGGCAGACATGCATTTTGTAAGCTATGTATTCTGTCCTTTTCAAAAAAACAGTAGCTGTTCCAGGAACAATTCATGTCCTGGTCATGCTCAGATTTATAGAGGGTAAGATAATTACTCCAGACGAGCCTGCAGTTACTGTTTCTTTACATGAAGAAATCAATTTCCATTGAATATTCATTTTGGTTTATATCTAGCTCTAGTTATTCACCTCTGGTTGTTGCTCCATCCCCTCAGCAGCCAGACCTGGTCTTGCTGCCATGTTTGTATTGGGGAAACTTCTGTTGATCCTGTGTTCTCACAGTGCATTTATCTTCCTAAACCACAACACCAGCTGCACGGTTCAGGAAAAGGACGACGTGCTGAGGGTGATGAGGTTGGATGCTCCCTAAGGGACTGGGGGTGCCAGGGCAGGGGCCCCGCCAGTGAGGCAAGGGGTGCCCAGGTCACCGGAGGGTCTCTAGGCTGGTGATGCTCTGTCTGCAGCAGCTGAGATGATGATCTTCACGCAGCTCTTCCTTGCTGTACACAAACAGAGCATCTGCTTCATGCTGATAAACTGAGGAGCAACCAAGGTCTGGCTTTTGCTGAAGCTTTGAGCGAGGTCAGCCTTTTTGGAGGTGCTTTTATTGCTGAGTGTGCAGTCAGGTAACGCCATCAGGGTGCTGAAGCTGGGTGACTGCTGGGAGATGGCAGCTCCCATGACATTTTCCATCTCTTTTTCCTTTCCAGCTTGGATCCCTGCTGTTACCGCTTCAAGATAACAAACAAAGGACGGCGCACCCATCGGCTCTACTGGTCCACAGCAGGTTTTGACCCATTTCGCCCGCGTGATCGTGTCCCTGCTGTCAGCACCACCAAGGGCCAAGGCTCCTTCCAGAGCCCCAGACCTGCCCACCCTGTGTTTAAGGTTCAACCGCCAAGGGTGGAGCTGATGCCGGGCAAGGCTACGGAGATGGTGCTGGAATGCTTCTCCAGCACTCCGCAGGTGAGGTCCCCCCCGAGGGCTGAGCCTTCCCCATCAGGAGCCAAGTGCTTTCAAGAAACTGTTCTAACACCACAAGTTAGCATGGCAGCACCAGCTGCTTTCCTTGCTGGCCACCATCAGTTCCTAAGGCTTTTTCGTGTATCCATGGCCACTGTAAACCCAATCTGCTGATACCAAAACACGGACTGAAGGAAATATTGCTACTTCAGGGGCAAATGGCAGGTTACAAGGTGTCATGTGCTGAGGCAGAAAGGAAGGGCAGAGAAAATGTAACGCTTAGATTAGGAGTACAGGCAGAAAGTAAATTAAAAAGTGCAAAGTAATGTATTTGGGGGAAGCAGTGAATAAAACAAAACACCTGTGAAGGGAGTAGCATCATTTTTCCTATAGACAAATATGGGCAGAGGGCTTGTCCAGCACTGAGTCCTGGAGCAGAAAAATGAACACAGTGTGTCAGCTGTAGTGATCGGGTGATGTTCATCTACATGGGAAACTGTTCACAGGGATCATTATAATTGACAGATTGACTTCTGTCAATATTTCCATAACGGCTCACCCCAGTCTCTCAGCCAGTCCCGGGGTCACAAGGGCAGCCAGGTCTCGCAGCACCCTTGGATGGCAGCTCAGAGAGGGAGATTTCAGCAGAGTCACAGGGTGTTCTCTGCCCTGGACCCTTCTTTCTAGGGGAAATCCAACTCTGCAGAGAAGCTACCACCTAAGCCTGGTGTGCATCCCCTCTCTCCGAGATCGCTGGGCACAGATGTTTAGGCGAATGTGGAATAAATCTGCATCAAGATCCTGCTGATAGTTGTGTTTTAAAGGGTTGCCTTGGTGGTAGCTTGTGGAATACTTGATTACTCACCTAACTGACTGCGATGGGACTGTCCCTGTGCAGTTCGGAGCCCAAAGATTTTGCTGAAACGGGGAAGAGGTACCAGAAAGCAAATAAAGTGATCAGGGTGCTGGAGAGACTGTCTTGGCAGGAAAGCCAAAAGGGGATCTGTGAGCTGAGCTGTGGCTACCTGGCTCCTGCAGTCAAAGCCAAGGCTCTGGGAGTGGGCTTTCCACCTTCCTCGGGTCTTGAGAACTTAATACTCTTGAGATTGGTCAGAAGCCCAACTCCTTGCATCACACATGCAGCACAGATGGTTTTGAGTCTGTAGGCGCTGAGGAGGAGTTGGGTTGTGGTGGTGTATCAGAGGGAAGAGTGAGGAATGAAGGGAAGAATTTGGGGAACTGAAACCATGAGAAATCAGGAAAAATTCTTAAGTGTAAGAGCATCCAGCTTAAGAAGAGGGTTTTCATGTGAACTGCAAGACATCTCTTTCCTGGGGAGTTTTCTTTTAAAACCAGCTCTAGGAGGGCACAGTACCTGCTAGGAATGAGTGTCCCCCACTTTACCTGAAGGCAGTCTGCCTGTTTGGGTTTTTCACATGGATCCTGTCCACTAAGCTTCCAAGGGAGGGTTTGCTAGCATTGGCCCTTCTGCCACCTGTTTCCCTTAATATAGGTGTATTTTTTTTTAATCAGTTCCTACAGCTTTCTGTAACTATTATGCTTGGCAGTGGTACAAATCAAAACGCTAATAATTTGGGGCAGGGACTATTACAATTGTGGGCAGCACATGACTCACAAGGGCTTTTTGTGGATAGTCCGTGTAGCATTATGGATGTTTGAGAGCAGAATAAATGGGATGCAGCATAAAAAGAAAAGGGGGGTGTTGAGGAGCCCAGTGGCTCTAACCTGATGGCAGTAATAGGGTCTGTGGTTAGGTGGGTAGCAAATGCAGTGCATTCTGGGGACACCCTGCTGAGCCCCGCCGGGTGATGGGTGACTCCTCCGTGCAGGTGGTGAAGGAGCGGCTGCTGTGCCACGCCATCGTGGGGAGCAAGGCAGGGAAGGCTCTGATAATGGAAGTGGATGTCACCTGCAAGTTCATTGCTCCCATCCTGCAAATATCCTCCAGAGAAATCACTTTCCGGGTGGAGAAGGTAAGTCTCTGGATTTCATCCCGGCATTGAAGAGCAAGGCTGGTGACTGAAAGCCTGGTGAGGGGTGTGCTTGTGTTCAAAGGAGGAAGTTAAATGGCTTCTCCAAGTCCCTGGGGCTTTGACTATTGAGTTGAGCTGGACCGAGATTTTGCCATTAACACTGAGATCAATATTTTGCTCCTCTGGGATCAGGAGCAGTTCCACCGGCTGTATTTTGCCCTCTTGATGTGGAGACATTGTTGAGGTGCTGAGCCAAGGGCACAGGGCGAGATTTGTGGGACCCACGAGAACAGCGTGGGCTTTGCACAGCCACCTCGTGTGCTGGGGCTGCAGGTGGGCGAACAGAGTGCTGCAGCTGAGCGATGCTAAACCCCCTCCTCACCCTTCCTGAGGGGCTTCATAAAGTAAGTGAGGGTTAGAGATGGGACTGGTTTTTAACTTCACCCAAGTAACACTGAGATAACAGCTGCTCTGCTGAGGGGGATCATGGCTACTTCTAGAAAGACACCAGCTCCTGTTCTCAGTGTGAAGGGAGGTTTTTGGGGATCCTCCAAGGCAAGGTGTCTGAACACTGATCCTGTAGGGAAGCTGAGAAGATCTGAGCTTTCTGTCAGCTCCTCAGGCTGATGAGAAAAACCTGTCATCTCTTGTCTCTGCTGTTGGCATGGATGGTAGCTCTTTGCCATTCCCCAAGCTTCACCTTCTTCAGAGGACCTGCAGACATCCTTCAGCTGCACTGATGATAACACCAGCTCAGAGCAGGTGCCCTTTAGCCTCTCGATCCTGAATCCTGCATCACTTTTCCCTCTCCCACGATGTGTCTGAAAAAGAGAATATATTTCATTATTTAGTTTCTGTGTTTTCAGGTCTCTCCTCTGGTTCTCAGGTTTCCAGAGAAGCACAAAATCCTGTGAGCAGGCAGTTTTGTTTAATTAGAAGCTTTTCAGCTATCCCTGATGTCTGCCTGTGGTCTGCTTGATGCCATGCGCTCTGATTTGTTGAATGTTATGACACTGCAGCTGTTTGATATCAATACATCCACAAACAGTTTCCCAAACACTGTCCAGTTTATATAAACCATGCAGGAAGCCCAGAGCAATGCATAAACAGGAAGAAATAGCTTTGGCAAAGCTGAGCTTTGAGGCTACAGACAGCTTGTCACTGGAGAAGGGGCAGCAGGACACCCATTGCAGCCCCACTGTTGAGGTTTCTCACTGGCTGTATGTGCCTGTAGATGCTCAAAGCCAGCCTTAGGCTGCTGCAGGCTCTGCAGTATGGGCCAAATCCTGCTTGCTTTTCTCCTCTGACCAGCATCACTGCTCTTATGAGACTACTAGAGCTGGTAAGGCTGTAGAAATGACTGTATGTGAGTGAAAATCATCTTGTGCAGTTCTTCTTGAGAGAAGATACAAAACAGAGACAAGTGCTCTGGGTTCAGTTTCTGCTATTGGTCTTGTTCATGCAGCTGCCTCCTCTCGGGGTCCTATTCCCTCCTCTGTGTGCCAGAGTGTTTCCCTGTCCCCAGGGGATGCTGTGGTTTCTAAACATGAAAGGATCTGATATACTTAGAGAAAAACCACCTAGAAGGGTAGAAGTAATAAAAATAGTAAATAGAGGTGTATGCACTTTTGGGGTTGAAAAACTTGAAAGGGAAGGAGTTCCGTGGCCTCTTCATGTTGCTTTTTTCCCTTGTGTCCTGTTCCTGTAGCAACCCAGTGATGTCCTAACTGTGCAGCACCAGCCTCTTTCTTTAAGAAACGCCTCCGCCCTGCCACTCACCATAGTCCTGGCCTTAGAGCAGCCCTTCTTAATCTGTGACGCGGAGCGGCAGCCCCTCTCTGCAGACGCTCAGGTGAGCAGCCGTGGGCCTTCCCGCTGTGGGGTTTGAAGAGGGGGGGTGTGGTGGTACATTTCTGTTGGGAGGTCCTCTAGTAGAGAAGTTTATTCTTTAGCTCAGCAGTAGACTGGCCTGAACTAAATCAGATTTGAAATGAGCTGCTGAAGGAAACGAAATATCATCTGAACAGGGGAAATACATCCTGGCTCTAAGACGTGAGGAGAGGGGAGCAGGCAGCTAGGCCTGGGCAAGCCGTGTATAACGGTGTCTCTTGGAAGGCATCGAGCTCTCCAGCAGCCATTCTGATACCCTCCAGAGCAGCTGGCTTTCCTCAGGGGCAGCCCTGCCTTCAGGAAGGCTGAGGAGGCTCCTCCAGCTGCTGCCTGGCCCCTGCCCTGTTGTTGGTGGAAGTGTTGGACATGGGCTCTGCTAAACGCTTGTTGTAGGCATGGTCACCACTTCTGTGCTGTGCCAGTGACTAGTCCCTGCAAGGGCGAGGCTGCAGTGCCATGCTGCTTGTGCTGGGAGGGCAAAGCAGTTCCTCTAGAGCTGGGGCAAAAGGCCCTGGTGCCCCAGAGTACTGATTTACTTGTGTATTTAGCACATCGCTCCTGTGGGTTCCAAATTCAGCATAAGAATATTTATTTTCCTTGTGTATTGATGCAGAGCACAGTGAGATGAGCCTGAGTATCAGACAAAAGTGTGGTGGGGCTTGCAGTCAGGTGCACACTGTGAAGAAAATGCAGGATGAACTGAGAAGCCTACGCTGGGGTCACATGTTGAACGTCTACACATTCTGTGCTGCCAGACCTTGGGACTTCATCACACTGGTGATTAATGCTCTTCATTTCCTTGCAGCACATGCAGCTGGAGACAGGGGAGGAACTTCATCTCTCCATCAGATTTCACCCTGCTTATGAAGAGAATCTGTGTACCCAGATTGTGGAGAAGGTTCTGAAGATTCAGTTTCTGGAGCATCCTCATGAGGAGCAGGTCACCGTTCGGGGAGAAGTCTACTTCCCAAATCTCCATATCCAGCCCACGGCCCTGGACTTTGGCTGCATCTTGAACGATACTGAAGGTGTGCGTTACGTCGAGATGACCAACTGCAGCCCGCTTCTTGTCCAGTACCACTGGTCATTCCTGATGGACAGCCGCGTGAGCCAGATGAGGTATGTGCCCCTTTGCTCTCTCCTTGAAGCTCTTCTTCCTCATCTCCTGTTTGTGCTTTGCAAAGACCAAGGCTGTTTGCCTGTGATCTGACAATTTTTTTTCAACTTTCCCTGGGGGAGTAACACCTCCCAGCCGTGGTCAGGCTTAGGTGCTCGGGGAATAAGTGATCTCTACCAGTTTGACACTGGGAAGGAGACAACTTTCTCCAGCCAAGCTGGGGTTGTGAGATGCTGCCAACGCTTTTTGCATCATCCATAACCTAGAGTCCTGCTTTATTTCTGGAGCTGTAATACAAACCTATACTTAGGCACTGGGACAAGCAGATATATGATGTGACCTCTTTTTCTTCCCTGCCAACCCCATGTGTTGTCATTTTACACGAAGAACCTACACAGGCACTGCCACCAGAACCATGTGCTTCTGCCCCAGTCTCTTGCTGCTGCTTTGCTGTAGCCCCCATACTGGTTGCCCTGGGAAGGAAGGCTGCTCTTGGAAAGCTGCTTTCTCAGACCTTTGTAGCCTGAGGCGAACACCACACTGGTGAAGTGAGTTTTTGTTGTTAAACTGCACATCACGTTCCCCAAACAGCTATTTAGCGTCTTACAGGGAAAGGGCAGGTTCTGCTGCAGCTGTGGGTGCAGCTGTAGGCGTTGGTGGGAGCACTTGTCTGAATGTCCTGGGAAGCAGGGCCAGCCAGCGCTGGGCTGTGGTTTCCAAGCCCATGAGCAGTCTTGCAGTCGTGCTGGAGCACATTTATAAACACATTTCTAGCAGTTCCTCCTGCTGTGGCCTTTCTGCATAGTACAAAAGTATAGTCTGGGCAGTTTTAATTAGAGTTAACCATTGTGTGTTGAAGTTAAGGATCTGCTGTAGTTGGAACTGTCAGTGCTAGGTTAACGGTTGGACTAGATGATCTTTGAGGTCCTATCCAACCTAGTTGATTCTGTGATTCTGTGAAGTGCTGTCATTAAAAATAATAGAATTCATCAATAAAAAGGTTTGTTTAGAGAACTGGAATCTTGCTCAGAGGACACAACCTACTGGGAACTGTAGATTAGCTGTGGCTATGAGGAGACCTTGGGGAAGAAGACCTGGGTTCTGGGGTAGCCTGTTCACAGCCGGATCTTACCATGTAACAACCAGTCTTTAGTGTGGCCCTTCTTGATGCACGACACCTGCAAGAACAGACCCTAAAATGCAGAGGAAAGTCTGCAAAAGCAGGTGGGCAGGGAGGAGCAGAGCTGTAAGCTCTGCTTGGGGGCCCCTGTCATCTCCTGGTAAATTAGATTAGGGTTTAATTGCAAGCTAGAGGGAAAATCTAATTTTGATGATAGAACAATACATATATATTTTATAATAACAGAAAAGCAAGCACGTTACAGTAAAGCCTGTATGGAATTAATTTCTTGTGAGGCCACTTGCTGGCCACTTGCCTGTGTATATTTACTCTTTTTGGGTTTTAGAACCAATTTAGGGTTTAGGAAATGTGAATACAGAATCAGCTTTCAGCTTTTAATTACCCCGTCTCCACCTAAACTGGCTTTGGACCCAAGCCAGCAGGTGCTTGTTCTTCCAGGGGATGCTGAGTCACCCAACTCTGCGGAGTCGGGAGCAGTTGAGGGTCCTGAGCATCTGGCAGGATAGCAGCCTCTGCTCCAAAGGGTTTAGCGTAGCCCCTTCACTGGCTCAGAATCACAGAACCGTCTAGATTAGAAAAGACCTTTGAAGATCCTCCAGTCCAACCATCAACCCAACATTAACAGTTCCCAACTCCACCAGATCCCTCAGTGCTGGCTCAGCCCGACTCTTCAACCCCTCCAGGGATGGGGACTCCCCCCCTGCCCTGGGCAGCCCATTCCAACGCCCAACAGCCCCTTCTGCACAGAAATCCTTCCTCAGAGCCAGCCTGACCCTGCCTTGGGCAGCTTGAGGCCATTCCCTTGGGGCCTGAAGCTGGGGCCTTGGCTCCAGAGACTCATCCCCCCTCTCTGCCCAATCCTGGCAGGGAGTTGCAGAGGGCCAGGAGGTCTCCCCTCAGCCTCCTCTTCTCCAGACTGAACCCCCCCAGTTCCCCCAGCCGCTCCCCAGCAGACCTGTGCTCCAGACCCTGCCCCAGATCCGTTGCCCTTCTCTGGCCACGCTCGAGTCACTCAATGGCCTTTGTGGTGTGAGGGGCCCAAAACTGAACCCACTCATCGAGGGGCGGCCTCACCAGTGCCGAGCACAGGGCTCAGATCCCTTCCCTGTCCCTGCTGGACACGCCAGTGCTGACACAAGCCAGGATGCCATTGGCCTTCTTGGCCACCTGGGCACACTGCTGGGTCCTGTTCAGCCAGCTGTCAATCACCCCCCTGGTCCCTCACTGACTGACAGCTCTCCATCCACTCCTCCCCAGCCTGTAGCACTGCTGGGGGTTGTTGTGGCCCAAGGGCAGCCCCCGGCATTTGTTGAGCTAAACATGTACAAAATAACTCTTTACTTTCCATCCAGGAATTTCTTGGCTAGTGTGTTTTGATTCAGCCAGGAGCCTTTCTCCTCCCAAGTGGGTCTTCCTGCAGCATTAGTAACTACTCATTCCTCCATCCTCTTTCCTTCCATGTATCCTGTGAGCCAGATCCCAGCCTTGTTACTGACCAGAAAACCCCAACTCTCTGTTACATTTGATGGGGTTTCTACTTTTTTGGTTTTGTAACAAGGCAGAAATGGAAAATGCAGGCAGTGAAAAACAGTGCAAGGCAAAAATCTGACAGCAGTTCCCTGTCAGCCAGCAGAGGGGAGAGGGAGCAGCGGGAGCAGCAGCCTGTCCATCTGGAATACAACCATCCACCGTGCCCCTGGTATGGGGAGTCTCAGATGGGTGGCAGTACACCGTACCCCTCCTCACCCTCCAGTGCCATCAGCTCCTTGGGGCAGAACGTTTTGGGCTTTGGTAGCCCCATGGGTGCTGCTTTTCCTCCTTAAATCCTGCGGGTAAGTTGTTAGAAAAGGGCTGAGTTGTGATGGAAATGTGCTGCTGAATGCGGCCTTCAGCTCCGTGTGGTTTGGCAGCAGCAGAGAAGCTTTTGCTCGGTGTAAGGGAGAAGTGGCCTCTTATTTCCCAAAGATGGAGTGTCTCGAAGCCAAGGCTGGTGCCAGGCAGGCTTCCTTCACCTCTGGGGTGTCAGTGCGTCTGCTGTGAACAGCTGATGGAGGGGCTCTGTGCTCGTGGACAGAGACACTGGGGAGGTGGAGCAAATTTGCTGCCTGTTTCACCCAGAGAGAATGAAAAGTGAATAAAATTATTGCCAGGGAGGGGTTTGGAGCCAGGCATAAGCAAGCACATGTTGTTACCAAGTCTATCTTAGAGACATAAACCTTCATACTGGGTGTGGTACAGCGATGATTTATCAGGACAAAGGTTTGGGGGTGATGATTTTCTATATGCAGCCTGTCTGTAAGCTTCTTTCTTCTCTGCTGTCACCATGCACCCTCCATCTCCATGCCTCTTCCAGCATGGTGCTGCTCTTTCCCCAGCTCACATGCTGGCGAGGCAGCCAGCCTGCCCCAGGCCTGGGCATGGCACCTTCTGGTTGTGCTCTTGGGAGCCTGCCTGCAGGTTTGAGACAGCTTCTGCCACCCAGGGCTTCTGACCACCCATGACACTGTCACACACCTGGAGGACTTTCACCTGGGCCATTGCAGTGGAGGCTGGAGCCCAGAACAGCTGCATGAGATCACTTTAATTGTGACTCTTGGGTTTTCTGAGGTTCAGTCTCCTCCTTTGCACAAGGGTGACAGACCCTGAGACCTGCCCTTTGCCTCGGGGACTGGGGAGCAGCCCCAGGCTGTTGGAGGAGCAGACTGAGGGTAGAGAAGGCAAAGGAAAAAGCATTGGTCGGGTGAAAAGTGGTGCACATCCTACCCGAGGTGTTGCCTAGCAGCTGACTGTCTCAGGACAAAGCGCAGGAGGTGTCCCTGTGTCACCCACGCCCTGAGCAGGTGCGATGGGATGGGGATTACCTTCTGGTTTTGTAGCTGGTCAGTGTCACATCCCGCTCCGACGAGGGAGACAAGTGACTCAGATTCGCAAATCCCCAGTTGGAGCGGACAACAAGTCTCCAAGTTCAAGCATTTATTAACGATCTACAATGTACTAATTGAACACATGATAATTGGCTAAGTACAGAGCAAGCTGTGGTGAGCAATATAATATGCTTTACATTTCTTAATAGAAAAAGGAAAAGAGGGAGATAGAGGCAATGGGGGAATACAGATCACCGGTCTGGGTTCCTGTGCTGATCCCGCCGGCAAGGGTTCCAGGAGGCAGCTATCTTCTTTGCTGGCATCCGTTGTCTTTGCTTCACTGCTCTCTCCAGACGGCCGGGGGGGCAGGGAGAGGGGTCAGAGAGAGAGAGCGAGCCCTTTCTTCTCCCCTTTGATTTATACCCACTTTCCTTGGGTCCGTCCCCTACGTCAACCCACAGACCTACGTATCCCATGTACGGGGAGGTGTAAGGTGTTCCATGGGATGATGTCACTAGTATGATCATGACAGCCCTCATTAGCATATTGACGGGTGTCAACTTTAATATGCATTTCATGGATAATGAAGCAAAGTTCATTCACCGGACACATGGCCCTTGAAATCTGCCCAGGTGCCCCAGAGAAGAGCCGTCCTGTCTCCACAGGGCTCTCTCCCCCAGATACATCGGGCAGCGTTATCAGCTTCGGCCTCCACAGAAAGCACCCTGGGACTCATGGTTTTGTCTTGTGAGTGTTTGAGGCAAATCTTCAATCAGCCTCAACTTTTGCTTTCCCAGGCTGTTCGTCTTAGTTTCTCACAGGCCTGGTTTCTCGGCTCTCACAGTCAGCGAAGGTGTCTGGAAGGTGACAACTTCTTGCTCTGTCAGCCATGTTCAGCAAACCTGGGGAGCAGCTGACTTCTGTCTGTGTTTCCTGGACGTCTTCATTACCCAGGGCACGCAGCGGGGACCCGAGATACGTTTGCCCTGCAAACAGC